GAGATATATAAAATCAGATCGGCATTAAAATAGGAAAAAGTATGAATAAAAAATTATAGCCAAACTAATCTTCAAAAATCGAGATTATGGAAAAAATTTAAATATGCAGATTCAGGACTCACAAGCCCAACTCTCCCTCTTCTCCTTTTATTTTGAGACAGGATCATACTATATAGCTCAGGCTGGTGTTACACTCACTATACGACCCAAGTTGGCTTTGATATGCAGCCCGGGCTGGCTTGGAACTTGCAGCAATTTTCCTGCCTCAGTCTCCCAAGTACTGGCATTATGGGTGGGCAGCACTACCCCACCCTCACAAACCATTCTTGGGAAATACACAATAGAAATGAACTTTCAAGAAATAAAGAAATCTCATCAAAAGTCCTCTTGGCATTTCATGTATTTGTAGATCTAAGACTAAAATAAATATCAGCCTAAAGGTGAAATAATAATATAAAATGCTTCTGTTCTGGTACAAAACAAAGCATGTAAAATGGGAAGACACAGGAAAGTAAAGGGGAAACAAAACAGATTGGGGACCGCACTATGGACAATAACTGAGTCATGGATGCTATCAAAAACTGGAGAAAAACAAGCCCTGATTATGTAGAGGTAAATAAAAAAGAGGGACATCTCAGTGTTCAGGCCACTACTAGATTAAATCCAAGCTATCCTAAAAGCAAAAGAATTTTTTAAATGAGAAAAGGAAGCATTTTACATTAAAAAAACTACAACAAATATGAGTCATAGGATGAGCTTTCGGTGGGTTTAAGAACAAGGTATCAGTCATATCATTGGTATGCTACATAGGAATGGGCTTACCCCCTGTGTTAAAATACGCAGAGGTTAGCTCTAAAAGAAGACATAACTATGTACTGAATCTTGCATAAAGTGTTTTGGATTCTTCTTTTTTACCTAACAACATGTGGTATCTATCAGGCACTGAGGAACAATTAAACGGTTGCATTCTGAAGGATGGAGCGATTGACTAATACTTGCTAGCTTAATACAACTCAGTATACTATTTCATGTTTCCAGGCAAAAATAGTACATTTTCTCTATAGAGAATAGTACACATCGTTGCCTCAACGTGTGGGGTCCAGGAGTTCCAAGCTCATGTTCAAAGAGTTGAAGGCAACAGGACGGAACAGCTTCACGTTTGTGAAGAGAAAAGTCTATTGAAGGAGAAGCGAGAAAAGAAGAAAAGAAAAAAGAAAAAGAAAAGATACATCCTGATCTCAGAATGGGTCACCACAAAAAAGGAGCACAGGCACCATAAGGCCCAGTGGCCACCACCTTTTACACCTTCTGACTGCAGATCTGGGCTGCCCTGCGGGGCTTCAAAGCTGCTCCACGCATGCGCCCCACCGTGATTGGCATCTCCGTGATTGACAGGTCAGGCCCAATTGCCCCGCAGTGTCCTCCCTCACTAGGCCTGTGACCCTCACTCCTGCCCCGGCTTTCTCACAGCCTGGGTCTCCTTTGCATTCCTGCCTGATGCAGAACCTCAGAACACTTCAAGTTTGACTTCTGCTGACCAGGCCAACTCCTTTGAAAAGGCACTTTTTGGCAACTGTATAATGATGAAAGCGCTCTTTTACAGGTGAGTACAGATAAAGTATCCGTTCCAAGTTATATCATTGAGATGAAGACGAATTGCAGCACCAGGTATAAGTAAGCTAATTCTGTTCTGAATGAAGAGAAAACAAGACGTTGGGTGGATAATTTCATGCATGAGGAAAATCATAGCTATGCAGAGGGTTTGCCTGTGGAAGCTGGAAATGCATTTTGGGTGGGTAAAGTGTAAGGAGAGACGATATGTACTTGTAATGTTTTCTAACCTGGAAAAGCCAGGCGTGCTAATGCACGCCTGTAATCTCAGCATTTGAGAGACCGAGGCAGGAGGATCTTTGTGAGTTCAAGATTAGCCTAGGTTACAAAGTGAGCTCAAGGCCAGCCCAAACTGCGTAGTGAGGCCCTGACTCAAAAAGACCAAAAAATTAAGTAATTAATTAATTTAATTTAATTTTAAAAAACATTGAAATAGGCAGATCTATTTTTCATGTCTTCAGATCGCAGGCTTTGGGATGTTTAAAATGAAGCTTTTCATTTCTTTCTTATGGTACTGATGTTAAGGAAAATTGCTTGCATTACCGCGTAAAACTTACGTTTTATCTTCCCCGAGTTGGTAAATACCCGGATGTGCTAGCAGCAGGCAGCGCAGACGATTTGTGATTTCTCCTGAGGTGGAGGTAATAAACATAGGCCAACATTTTCCACATGACTCAGTTTCCCCCGGCAGTGCCCCACGCCCACCATGTCTCTGGCTGGGTGAGGCTGTGCCTTGCTCTGAAAGGGACGTTTCGATCAAGGCCAGTGACGTGCAGAACCAAGGGGGACCCAGACCCCAGTGGCTCTCCTGCGTGTAGGACCAGAACACTGCGGCCTAGCTGAGCTGGCCGCCGCCGACCCTGTGCTCTAACGATAGGGCGATCAGCCACGGCTCGTGGTGTTTATTGTTTTTTTGAGGATTGACATATGTCAAATATTGTTTTTCAAGACAAAACAGTAGATTGTTTAACTATTGCTATTTTTCCTGTGCTAAGAACCTGCTGCTCCCTTACTTCCGTTCCCTTTGAAGATCTCTTCAGTCTCTTACAAGCTACAGCACTTGTTTAATATAAGACAAGGTGTTACATCAACCAGATATTTCAAAGGGTTCAGAGACAACGATCAACATTTTGTAAATACAGCAATAAATTTTCATAGTAAAAACCTCACTGGCCCGTACGGGGATCGAACCCGCGACCTTGGCGTTATTAGCACCACGCCCTAACCAACTGAGCTAACCTGCCACCAGCTACATTGTGTTTTTAGTTTCATACAAGGTGCAAAGGTTAAACCACAGCAAAACCAGAGAACTAACAGGGAGCGGGAGGGCAGGCACCGGGGAGAGGGCAGGACAAAACTCTCAGCGCTGAGCGGCTTGCTTTGTGGTTGCTAGGAGACCGCAAGGCGCGCCTGCCCCTTCGCCCCTCCCTCGGCTGGGCGCGCAGCTGGCTCGGCCCCGCCCAGCTCCGTGCGGCTGCGCACAGCCTCGGTCAGCGGGGCCGCTGCGGGGACCTGGCCTCCAGGACTCCCGCTACGTCCCCGCGGGGTTCTTTATTCAGAATCGCGGGCTAGAACAGTCACCCACGTCCTCCCTCTCCCCTTCTCCCTTCCTGTCCCCTGCCCAGCTTCTTCTTTAAAAAAATTTTAAAGGTAGGATTTCCCTGTGTAGTTCAGGCTGGCCTTGAACTCACAGCGTAGCTCAGACTAATCTCGAATTTGCCGTGATCCTCTGCCTCAGCCTCCAAGGTGCTGGATTGCAGAAAAGTACCACTATGCCTCGCAACCGGGATCCTTTTTATCTCGTCCCACAGCTAACCTCTATCTGGTGGTCAGAGCATTTAAAAATCTTCTCTAGTAGGCCGGGGATATAGCTCAGCGGCACAGCCGCCTCCCTGGCAAGCACGAGGTCATGAATTCCATTCGTGAGTTTGATTTGCCGTTTAAAAAAAAATCTCACAGCATCTTCCTGGAAAACTCAAGGTCCTGAGGTGATTCCCAGTGCGAAAAACGCACACACACAAAAAAAAACAAAAGAAACTCCCTCCAGGTTAGGCAAATTTTCAAGGCACAACACAACAGTATTAACTGTATTTCATCTTCTTAATTCTACCCAAACATAAATTCGTACTCTTTAAACTACTTCTGTTTACTTTCTTGATACTCTGCTTGTATTTATTCAAAATTTATTTTTAGGTTACACATATATGTGAGATCATAAAGTAATTTCCTCCAGCTACTGTGTTTCATATAGCATAATATTCATTAGGGCTTTTGTTTTTTCCCTGTTGCTTCAAATGGTGGCATCTCCTTTGTAAATGCCACATCGCAATTTTTTATTTTTTTGAGACAGGGTCTCGCTACGCAGTTCAGCCTGGCCTTGGGCTCACTTTGTAGCCCACAATGTTCTTGAACTTGCAACAATCCTTCTGCCTCAGCCTCCCGATTGCTGGGATTACAGGTGTGTGCGATCACGCCTGGCTCATCAAACTGCTATTTCTTTATTTATTTGTTGAACATTCAGGCTGTTTCCACACCTTGGCTCTGGTGACTAACACTGCGTATGGACGGGAGTGCAGATTCTCTGTGAAGCCCTGGTTTCACTTCTCTGTGTCGGGTCTCTGCCCCAGGGTTGGGGCCCCAGGGTGGCTGGGTTTGTGCTTCTGGAGGCCTTCCCCACTGCTTCCTCAGATGGCAGTGCCCACCCACACACTCGCCAATGGTGTTTTCCGGTTTCTCTGCACCCACACCAGCCCTTGCTAAATCTTGCATTTTGGGTCCGAGTCATCTCAACAGAATGAGTCTGAAGGGCATTTCTCTGGTCACTTATATGTCTCCTTTGGACAAATGTCCATTCAGGTTCTTGTTTCCCTTTAAACTGGGCTATAAAGTTTTTTTTCGATATTGAATTGTGTGAGATCCTTGAGTTTCCCAAATGAGCTCTTTACTGGACCTATGGTTTACAATGCTTTCCCAGCCCACAGGCTGTCTCTCCACTACGCAGCCTCCTGGGCTGGGCAGCGACCTTAGGGTTGGTGGAGTCTCATTTGCTAGTTCTCTGCTTCGAAGTCCCCTGTATGTCTTCCCATGCCTGAAGTGGTGGTCTCAGGGCTTTACCCAGTATCACCGTTGTGTTTTGAAAATGGATTTGTTGGACTCCTCCTGCCGTCAGCCAGGGCAGGTACCAAGGAGCTGTCAGTTCTGCCTCTACTTGATGCTGTGTAAATGGTGCAGGCTGCGTCTGTGCCTGGCTTCCTTTGCTCAACATAATCTGGAGATTCAGCCGACTGCACTTACCCATGATTCACTTTGTTACTGCTATTTTATGACTATACCACACCTCCTTTTCTGTTTATCTGCTCATGTACCTTTGCATTGTTTCCTGTTTTTAGCTGTAATAAACTTCTTACACCATCTTATCATAGACGCATGATTTTATTTTCTTGGAAGATCGTTTAGGACAAAGCATGGCGGTCACAGGTGCAGATACGAACCTACAAACTGACCTAGGAGGGATGAAGAGGAATAAAAAAGACACATTTCCAAGCAAGCGGGACTAGGTGACTCCCACCTCAAGTGGACAAGAGCCCCAGGAGTCTAGAAAGTCCCGTCTTTACTAGTAAAAACAAGACGAGGCAGCAATCACTGATCCAGGCTTCAAGAAAATGTAAGTGATGGAGAAGGAACACAGCCACTTGTCACCCAGACAGTAACTGCCTTTCTTTCGCCCCCAAGCTGTTGCTCTGTCCCCGGGGGTACTGAGGTCAGCATTGCTGCACACAGACCAGGGAGGGGCACCTTCCACCCCTGCCTGTCCCAGAAAAGCCCACAGCCTCCCCATCTGCCGCTGATGGCCGAGCCCAGTGCCCCTCCCGAGGCCCGAAGACTCTGTTTTTCTTTTCCGCATCGGTGGCAGGTTCTTCCTCCCCAGCATCGGAACCTGTCAGAGGTCTTGTTTACTTGCTTGTAATTCTTTTGGGTATAAAGTAGTATTTCATGTCATTTTATTCACATCTCTCTGTTTTCATGTGTTATTGGTCATTTGTGTTTTAAATTGAAATGGTTACCCAGGCACTTTGCCCACTGGCTACCAGCTTCTCTCTTTACTACCCATTCCAAGAAGTCCTTTGTCATGTGTGTGTGCTGTGCCTGTTTCCCCTTAGTTTGCTACAGTTTTTTGATTTCTTAATATGTTTCAAGGAATTGATTTTAACTTCAATAATACCTAACTCATCCCTTTTTAAGTATTTTATTTTATGTTGTCTTCTCCAAAAAATACTGGCCTGGTCCAAGCCCGTGAAGATGTTTCCCGTTTTCCCTGATTCCTCTTGGTGGTGGCAGACCTGGAGAGCTGTGTGTGGTGAGGTGGGTGTGGCCAGTGCTCTCCCCTGGTTTGATCTAACTGCTCCTGGTGTCATCTCCTGCATCCATTCAAAACACTTGCGTTCCTTACTGACTGGGAGCAGGGATGGGGGCTTGCTAGGAAGTTAACATAGATCCTGTGCTGCTGTGTGCCAGTGCAGCTCTAGGTGCTGGTGGGGGGAAGGACAGTGAGAGCTTGGGAAAATAAAGAAAATAGATGAAAGCTGAAGCGAGGGGGAGCCCTCCCTCTCTCCCCATGGGAGAGAAGGAACCCCTGTACCACTGCAGCCACTTTATTTATACACTCAGGAGCAGGATGGCAATTTTAGGCCCCGATGCCTAGCAACTTGATTGGCTGGCTGGCCTGGGCCCCTTGCCTTTCCAGAGCTGGAACAGTTGGTTTTGGGGCTCACCTTGGACTCTCTGTGTACTCAGGGCTGGCCGGCCTGCCTCGGTGGTTCAGCTGTCTAGGGGCTGACAACCAACCACACGGGAAATCGCCATCAGCGCTGCCCTCCACAGAGCCACCTGGAGAGACCCCTGATGCTCATCTCTGTGAGCCTGGGCCCCAAGGGAGCACTGAGGGGGCTAGTGCCAGGCCCTGGCCTCGGCTGCGTGCTGCTGGGGAAGCCTGTGTCTGGACTCTGTCCTCCAGGCTTGCAGGCCAGAAGCTCCACTCAGTAAAAGGGGGAACTGCATGAGACACATCAGGCATCATCCAGACAAAACACTTCTACCTCCATTTATATTCATTAACTCAAATATTTTCTCTGTTGTTGACATCACCCGTAAATGAAAATCATAAACAGGTAAACCACAGTTTACCAGCTTCTCTGGTCCTGCTAGTTTTTTCAGGTCTTCAGCCCAGCAAGCTGACAAATGCGTGGAGAAGTTTCGATGTGCGCCGGCTAGTGTGAAGCAAGGGTCCCGTGGGGAGTCTGCCCAGGGCCCTGCCCTCTCCCCTCTCATGCTAGCAGCGGGGGCTAAACTGGAGTGAGACATGCCAGAGGTAATTTCAGACAGTGCTTGTAAAAAATAAAATAGCTAACATGACAGGGCAGGTGGCAGTCCTGGCAGGCTTCTGAAAGAGTGACATTTGAGTCGGGCTAAGTGGTCTGGAGAAAGCGGCCACTAGAAGGTTATAGAGGGGACAGCCCTCTCAGGAGAGGGGACAGCTAAGGCAAGGTGGGAGGCAGCTGTAGATTTCACCTCGCTACCAAACAAGGCCATGAGGGAAGCTGGCAGAGTGCAGGCGACAGAGGGAGGGGACAGGACGCAAGCTCAGAGGAGTGCTGGAAGCCACAGTGTTTAGGGCGCATAGCCCTGGGGGATGCGTGGGAGTCACTCGAGTTCCGTGCAGCGGGTCTGAGCACAGCACAGCCTTTCTGACTCCTGGGAAGAGCCACAGTGGCTGCCAAGGACAGAGCGGATGGGCGGGACCAAGCAAAGAGCAGGAGCGCCAGAGCGAAGCACAGGGACGCTTCCCATCCTAGCAGAGCTGTCTGTAGCCGGGCCCTGGGTGAAAAGTTGAGGTTGCTAAGCTGCCTGCAAACTTCAGGCCCAAACCCACCTCACAGTGGGTCCCAACGCAGGGATGATCCATCCCTCGCCTGGCACCGCCGTGCCCAGGGGGGGACACTGAGAATGCCAGGCCTAGCACCAAACTCCAGCCCAGTCAGAACGAAGCTGAAAAGACCTGTGCAACAGAGGGCAAGAGAGGAGCCTGGCAAAGCAGGAGAGAAGCGGGCGAAGCCTGCGGGGGTGGGGGTGGGCAAACTCATTTCATTTCTCATCATTTCTCAGCATGGGGTGCCCTCGCTGCTGGTGCTAAATAGAAAAGTGGGGCCAGGGTCCCCACTCAGTCTGACTGCCGTCTGCTCTGTTGTCAAAGGACGGGGTCCAGGCCAGCCCTGGTGAGCGGGACTCTGTTTGTCCTCAGAGAAAATCAGGATGCAGCTCAGTGGCTCAGCGCCTGCCTGGCAAGCGTGCGGTCCTGAATTTGATTCCTTGTACCCATCAAAACAAAATAAACAAACAAAGCTTTTAGGTTTGGAATGTGGGAAAAGCAAGAACAGGGTCACATTTTCCCCTGCAGCCCCTGTCCTTTACTTTTCCTGGATTCTGGCCTGACCTGCTCTTCCTCCTCCAGGGACTGGCCTGTGGAGGCAGCACAGCCACCATGAGCCACCAAGGAAGCCTTGGGCTGAGTCCCTACCTGAGGCTTTGGCGGGACGCTGACCTCTGGTTGTGGGAAAGGGTGGTGGGTGACACTGGGAGGAAGCCAGAAGACTGAGGGACAGGAAAACAGACAGGACCTCAGAACCTCAGGGTGGTGCTGTGTCCCCAAAGTTCTGCATCACAATGGCCTCCAGGGCGAGTTCTGATGGGGTGGCCCTCCAGGCTCCACTCTCAACGGGAGTCCACCTACTCCCCAGCCCTGGCCACCGTGTGGTCCCTGCCAGGCACAGACCCTCATTTTCAGACACCCTGGCACTGCAGCATGGCCAGGAACATCTGTGCCGAAGTCTGCCAGCTGTGGTGCCCGGCTACAGCCACTCGGAAATGACAGAATGAGCAAAAAGAATGAGAAGACAGCAGAAAGGCCAGGAGGTACCAAGGGAGGGAAACAGACGGAGGGAAAGAGGGAGTGAGGGTTGCCAGGAGAAAAAAGTAGGAGTCAGAAACCCCAGGCATAGGGCTCTGCCTCATGATGTACAGTCCCTTTCTACAACGTGGAGAAGAAGCTGGACCTTATGTCTGCACCTGCATATTCCTACAACTTGTCAGAGTCCTTTGGGCAGTGACTGAGGAGATAAACCATGCAGGAAACAACGTAAAAAAAGAAAAAAAGAAAAAAAAAAAAAGAAACCGCGGGTAGTGGGGACCCTGGGGCAGAGCAAGCTGGGAAAGGGGGGGGGGCTGGAAGAGCGTGGAGAGGGGGAGGGGAGGAGACTAGCTTTGCAGAGATGTGCACTCAGGCAGAGACATAAAGGACCATGCACAGAGAAACAACAGGCCAGGAAAGACAAATAATGACAGGGCAGCTGGTCAAGAGAAAAACTAAAGCCAAAAGGAAGAGGCTGCAGACAGTGAGGAGTGGGCCGGGCCAGGCCAGGCCTGAGGCCGAAGCATCACCCAGAGGTGCCCAGCCGACAGCTGAGCATGGAGTCCGGGAGGCAGTCACTGGCGAGGGTGCCAGTGCCAGCAGTCACGTGCCCTGGACACTCAGCATGGAAAGCCCCAGTGTCCCATACTCAGTGGCCACGAGTGTCCATGCTGTCTTTTCCACAAGGCAGCTTTACTTGGAGCCAGGGGGCTGCACACAAGCAGGGTATGTGCAGGTTAGGGGCTGAGCCCCGGGCCCTGGGGTTCTCCTTCAACAAGGGGCTTCCTTCATCCTTCACATGAAGAAGGGGTCCGGGGAAGGCTCAGGCTGGACGCCCCAGCTGGCCTTCCTCCTTCACCTGCCCGAGCCAGGTTTGCAGCTGGTGCAAGATGCTCTGTGGAGCGAGGACAGTGCCGAGTGAGCCCCGAGTGGGGAGTGAAGACCAGAAAGCGGGTGGCACCAGGGCCTCTCCTCACTCACCTGGCGCCCCGAGCGCAGGCTGGTGGGGTCCGAGGGCCTCTCGGGGGCCATGTCTGCGCAGTGGGAGGCCCCGGGGATGAGAAGGGCTGCCTTTGACCCGCCCGAGGCCTGTGTGACGCTCAGCATGTGCCAGGGGTCAATGTCTCCTGCAGGCGGGATGTGAGTTGGACCGGGTCGGGATGGGGAAAAGCCTGCAGCCTGTTCTCTTGGGGCAGCGCTCACCATTGACAAACAGCACTCGAGTGGCTCCTGGGGCCTGGCCTCCATAATAGGAGTTCGTCTGGGTCACAGCCCGGGCTACAGATGAAGCCGAGAGCCCAAACACCTGCTCGCACAGCTCTAGGTGCGATGGCAGTGCTGGGAACTGGGGGAAAGGACACTCAGCATTCTCACAGGTGACATCTGTGGAGGGACATGCCTGAGTAAGGACGCAGGACTCAGTCCCCTGCTGTCCTCCCTGGTGATATGCTTAATGATCTCACAGTGTTGTCAAAGAGACCCTGACTTTCTGAGAGAGCCTGCCTGGGGCACAGGCTATGATAAATGCAGGCCAGGGTGTGGGGGGCCCCAAGAGAATGAGATGGGCTCAAGGGCAGAATTATGAGATCCAAGCTAGCAGTGGGAAGACAGCATATCACAGACAGAGGAACAGGATGTGCAAAGGTGCAGGGGCAGGAGGGCAGCATCTGGAGTGAGAAGTGCTGTCGGTGGGAACCTGGCCCCACCCTCACAACTCCTTCACCAGGACAGAGCCCTGATGGTGTGCACAGGCCTGGTACAAAGTGGCTGCCAGAAGTCACAGGCTCCGCGGCCACATGCCAAGTGAAATTGGAAAGGGAGTCAATAGGCCTGGTGGTGTGTGAGAGCAAAGCCCACTGCCACCACCTGGGACCTGCAGGATGATGGGAGGTTTGGGGCCTGGGGATCTGTGGCGAAGAGGAGCAGACTGTGGCATGACAGTGGAAGGTGACTCACTGGAGCACAGTGCCCATGTGGGCAGCGTCCCTTGAACTCAGGCAGCGCTTAATGTGTGCCCCAAGTCACTCCTAACAGGCTGCATCTGTTCCCGCCTCTAATCCCTAGATGGCCCGGCGGGGGTGGTGGTGGTGGTGGTGGTGTTCCTGTTCTGTTTCCATTTTCAGGTGCGGAAACCCAGGCACCGGGCTGAGGGGGTCTCACTCCAAGGTTGCTCAGACCATGTGGGTAGGAAACGGAGCCAGAATGGGAACACATTCTCCCCCTCCTCACAGCACCCAGAGAAACGGAAAGGACTGTGAGCTTAACTTTGGGTGGGATGGCCACAGTTAGCAGACAAATGGGAGACTACATCCAGACAGACAGGCCACGCTGAACACGCACAGCATTGGGGACAGCTTTATACTAACATTATCGGTGTTTTGAAATTCAAATTGAACTGTGCATCCGCATTTATCTGGTTGCCCTACCCCGGGTCCTTGAGAAGGTGAGAGAGTGTTCTGAGCAGAGAAAGTGCAAGGTGATCTGTGGGTGCTGTGCGGAAGGGCAATCTTGTGGGAGAGGTGACCCTGAGATTAAGGAGGAGGCAGAGGAAAGGAACGGAAGGGGTGGGGTGGACGGGAGGTTGTCCCCGACCAAGGGTCAGGACTCTGGGGGACAGACCACGAGGATGAGGGGAGCCAGTGCAGAAGTGCCTGGAGGACCACAGGAGGCCTTCGTGCAAGCACACTCATGGGAGCACACTCAAGGCTGCCCACACTTGCCATCCCAGCATGTGTGGGTTACACAGGACAGGGAGTCAGGGTCGTTGTCCCGAGCAATGAAAAGGCATCTAGGCCACCTGTCAAGTGTCCTCCCTGGGGGGGAGGGGGCAAGGCTGGTCACTCACAGAAACCAAACTCGGTACACGTCTGGTACAACCACTGCCGGTCACCCAAGCCGGACGCTTGGGGCTCCGTGTCTTTCAACTGTGCCACAGTCTGTGCTCGGGAGGCACTGAGACACCGCTGTCCCAGGCTGTGCAGGACAATCTGGGAACGAGAAGCAGCGCACTCACTCCTCAAACCCAGGGAGATGGGCCCCAGGCCCTGTCCCCATCCGCTGGAGGTGCAGTCAGTGGGCAGGCAGGGGGGGAACCTTGTCACCTGTGAGCCCAGGGGCTGGGGATGATCCATTTGCTCTTCGGTTTTGGGGCACTGTTGGCCTCTATCTCTTGGGAATCAAGTGAAGTAACAGGGGCAGGGTCTCTAACCATCCATAGTCTAGGTCGGGCCGGAAAGTGGCAGCTGAATTGTGGCCACGTGCTCAAAGGCTGCACTGGCCCCTGAGTAAACGCTGTTCCTGGGCTGCATTTTTTTCATTTATTCTTTAACTACCAAGGGAGTTTTTGCTGTGCGTGGGCAGTGCTGTCAGCTCAGAAGAGAGGACAGACAGGAAAGGCAGCCTAGGTAACAATCTGAAGGTCTAAGTTTGGCATAGTTTTGACAAGAACCTCACCCCTGAGGGCGTTGTGTCCATTTTACAGATGGCAAAACAGACTCAGAAGGGCTAGTGCTCACCTAAACTCACTCAGGGGAGGAAGTGGAGCAGGAGCCCTGGTCGTGCATGCGGGTGCTTGTGGAGCGTGTGTGTGCGTGCGCGGGTGCAGGGTGCTCACCTGCACTGCGAGTCGCAGCCCGAAGTAGGCCTCTGGGTGGCTGCCGTTGCGCGCGCCCTCCAGCAGAAGTCCGCAGAGCTGGCGCACGCTGAGCGGCGCCCCCGTCTGACCGTCGTATTGCACTGCGCCCCCGACCAAGGCCTGCAGCGCCTCCAGGAGCTCTGCCCGGTCCTCGGCGCGGGACAGGGACCCGCAGGCGCCCAGCTCCGTGCGCAGTGTCGATCGCGCCGCCCCGCCCATGCGCAGCCGCCACTCCACCTGCGCGAAGGCCGAGGACACCGCAGCCCGACACTGCCGGCGCGGGTGTCAGGGGGTTGTGCGCACCCGGTACCCCACCCTCCTCCAAAACTCAGGGCTCTGCCTCCGCCCCGCCCCGCCCCGCTCGCCCCTCCCCGCCTGCACTGTGCTGTCTCCGGCCCCGCCCACGTGCCCCCGCCTCCAGGTGGCGAGGCCCCGCCCCGTCCCCGTCTCTGCCCCGCCCCACCTGGCTCCTCCCCTAGCCGGAGGTCCCGCCCATTCCCCCCTCCGCCTAGTCTTGCCTCTGCCCCAGGACCTGGCCCGGGCCCCGCCCCGTCTACGCTTCTGTCCTAGGCCCCGCCCATCAAGGCTCCTCCCGGAGCCCGAGGCCCCACTCTGGACCCGCGTGGTCCGCGCATCTGCCCCAGGCCCACCTCGCCAGGCTCCTCCCCCAGCCCAAGTCCCCGCCCCTTCCCCGCCCGTCAGCTCGCGCTATATAAGAAGCGTCTCTGCAATCCGATCTGCGCATCAGTAGTCCTAAAGCCGAGGTTTTCGTCTGCTCGTCCTCTGCGCCCGGCTCCCTCGTCCCCTGGTGAGCGCCACTACCTACCTCGGGCGACCCGCCGACTGCCGCGCTCGCCAGGCCCCGCGACACCACCTGGGTTAGGGGAAGGTCAGGGGTGCAGGGGCCCTGTCCTGCCCTTCCCCACCCCGCCTGGCCCGGCCCGCGCCTACCGCGTTGTACTCGGCGAAGTCCAGCACGGCCCGCACCGGGGCGGAGGAGGCCACGGCGGCGGCGAAGAGGTGCGGGAGCTGGAGGCGGCGGGCGGGTGACGTCTCCTGGGCGGGGATACCGCCCGAACCCACTCCCGCCCGCCCGTCCGGGGCGCCCCGCACCTTCAGCCGGGCCCAGGAGGCCAAAGCGCCGGCGTAGGAGCCCCCGAAGCAGACCCAAGCGCTGGCGGAGCTCACGTTGAGGAGGCGCGATAGCGCCAGGCGGGCTGAAGCCGCGTCCGCCAGCCTGGGCCAGCGGGACGGGATGGTCATCGAGGCGCGAAGGACGTGCGGGTCCCCGCGCAGCCTCAGCCGCACCTCGGAAGCTCACGAAGACCGGCCTCCCTTCCTCCCTCCGGAAAGAACAGTGGTGAAAACTTCACAAATACAGGGAGTTGGAGGTCAACAGGAGAAGGAGGGCAAGGGGGAGAGGAGGAAGGGACAGGAGGGGGCGTCGCAGGTGGGGAGCCGGAGGCCTGGGAGTGGAGACCCCCGGCGTAGGACAGAGGCTCAGAGAGCCCCCCCCCCCCGCCCCAGGCCAGCCGGCCTTTTGACTTCGGGATGGCCGCACTGAGAGCCAGCCCGTGAACTAGCTAGCAGCCGGCCCAGCTGGTGGGGACACAGGTGTGGCCAGACACAGAAGAGGGTGAAGAGAACGCGTGGGCAGTGGTGAGAGGCACAAGCACAGAGCTGGCTGTACACTCACGCGTGGCGGCTGGACAGGTAGCGGAGCTGGGCCAGGCCCAGGCCCCCAGCAGGTACGCTGAGGCCATAGAACCGGTGTTCCAGGCTAATCACCAGGGCACCCAAGGCCGGGGCCAGAGCTTCGGGGTGCCCTGTGGAGGGCACGGGGTGAGCTGGGTACAGGCCCCTTCAGGTCCCAGAGTGCACACGCAGTTGGCCCCTCTCCCTAACCCTTACCTGTCATCACAGAACCAGGGCCCAGACTGCCCTCACCCCCCAGGTGCAGGAAGACAGGGGCGTCCCCGCCTGCCCAGTGGCGGTCATTCACCCAGTACCGCTGCAGATGGAGGGGAGGAGGCTGGTCAGTAGAGGTCACTCCCTGTCCCCTGTGCCCAGGCTCGCCCAGTTGGGTGGCTTGTGTAAGTGTGTGTGTGTTCCTCTCCTTTGAGGCTCTCCCCCAAAGGTAGGTCTTCTGGATCTGTGTCTTCATTCTGCAGTTCCAGGTTGAGGGAGGTGGTTGACAGCTGGGGAATTTTAGGGCCAGGTGCGGTGGGAAGACTCGGGTGTCCACAGTGGGCACAAAAGGTAGTAAGCTCTTTTATCCAGGGGAGACTTCTGACTTCCTTCAGTGCCTGCATTCTCACTGCTTTAGTGTGCAGCCTGGTGGCAGGCTCAGGTGATTGGAAGGGCAGGCGAGGAAGGGCAAGGAGGCCTGGGAGAGCCAGGGACCAGGGGGGGACACAGGACATCGAGGAGAGTGAGGGCGGGCCAAGCAGTGGAGGGGACGGGGACTCCAGACAGGCAGACACCAGGTGCAGGGAGGGCGAGGGAGTCAGAGGCCTCACCTGCAGGAAGGTGCGGTCATCCGAGGAGTTGAAGGGGTCCAGTGGCTGCTGCAGCCACCCAGCCCTGGGGCCTGGGTCCGGCCCTGCGCTGCCCCGAAGCCTTTGCACGCGTTCACCCAGGCGCCGGAGAAGCAGGGTCGAAGGGTGGGCAGGGGCAGAGCTGGTCAGGCCAGGCCAGGACCCTGTGGGCCATAGCCCCAGCACCACCTGAGCTGGGAGCCTGCAGAGCCAGGCCAGGAGCAGGATGTGCAGCCCAAAGACTGGGGCCATGCCGCTGCTGTGTACAGTTCCCTGCGGCTCTGGTACTTTTATCCCAGCCCGATCCATCCCGGCTGCAGCTCAGCCTGGGCGGCATCAGAGGCTCAAGTTTCTTCCCACGCTTGGAAGGTCAGGCGTCTATAGGAATCGTGACAGCGAGACAAGACACTGGCATCAGCACCCCATGTCTGTCCTGGGCTGCAACCCTGCCTAGCAGCTCCACTGGCCCTCCTAGTCCCTCAGCTCCACTCCTGTCCAGCCCCTTCCAGATGCTCAGCGCCCACTCACCTTGTGCCCTTCACCTTGTAGCGGCTGTTTCTCCAGTAACCTAGTGTCCCCCAGGCTCCTCTGCCTCAGTGGCATCTCTGATTGTCTGTTCAGAAACTCTCCCATGGTCAGAGTGTTGAAAATGTCAAGACCCATGGCCCTCTGTTCCTTATCTAATTTGCACCTTTTTAGTGCAAGCCAGTGACCTGAAAAGAAAGGAATCAGGACTCACACAGGAGGCCTTGGGACCCACTCCAAGAGGCCAACAGCCTGGCCCTTGACGGGAAGGCCTGGAGGGGAAGCAGGTGCAGGTGGGGTGTGTGTCGGGGTTGTGAGGTGCTGGGTCCAGAGTGTGCCCCGCTGGCTGAGGGCTCACAGGAGTTTCCTGCAGCTTTGTTCTGCACATGCATGTACATGAAGTATGCATGCATGCATGGAAAATATACAATATCTGTCGCATTGTTAGTGTTCTGTGTATGTATTCCACTGCGCCACTCCTAAACTGACCTCCCTTCCCTGGCCTGTACCCAAAACAGAGTGAGCCAGAAGGGAGAGCTCCGAGTGCTTGTGTGAAAACTACTCGGTGGCAGGGCTGGGCCCTCTTTCTCCACCAGCTGTGCACTTCACCCACTGCGCTTACTAAGCCCTGTCCATGCAGATAATCGATATACTCCTGCATCGTTGAGATTGCATTTCTCCTGTTTATCCTGCGCCCTCCACAGGCTCACATGCGAACTTGTTTCCCTGCTGACTCCCAGGTGCCTGGGCTCGGGTCCTCTTGGTGGTTACTCTCGGCTTCCGGATGCTGGTGCGGCCCGAAGCCCATCTGTCAGTCGGTGGGAGTAGGACGCCATCTACTCCTCCCGTCCGGCTCCTGTGGACGCAGGAAGCCGCTCCACGCGAGGACTTGATCCCTCGGGCTCCGGGCGGGCGCGCCTTCCACGCCGCGTGGGAACAGGAGGGCGGGGAAGTGAGGGTGAAAGCGACTCATGAATCCTTTAGAAACAACTTATTGTAGACCAACACGAGAGTGTGATCGACTTTTTTTACATTAGAATAGAGATAGTTTACCGTGTGGCCGGTTAGCTCAGTTGGTTAGAGCGTGGTGCTAATAACGCCAAGGTCGCGGGTTCGATCCCCGTACGGGCCATACAGGAAATGGTTTCTAGCACAGCTTTTACTTACTGAACAAAATGAATGACGGGGCTCTCGCTGGGACAGGTTATGTGTTCCAGAGTCTTTCGTCCTGCCAAGGTCTCCATTCCTTTTACTGCAGTGGAGTAACCTTATCCGCGGTTGTTCTAGCACTTGGGGACACTCCACATTCACACTCCATATTGGGGCACTGTTTCTTCCGTCTGAAGGGCTCCCCTGGACTGATTCTTTTCCTTCAGAGTTTTGTTCACTCACTAGTATTCTTTCTTTAGAGACAGGAGATCAAACGACCCTGACGTCCATCCCTGACAATACTTCTCTTAGCATTTGTTATCACATGATCTAATATCTTATAAATGCTGTATTTAAACAAATTCTCTAATCTTCCCTCTAGAAAGAGAAGTGACATTTTTTTCTGTTTTGTTCTCAAATATAATCCCAGTGTTTAGTAAGCACCGGACACACAGAACACGTTTATAAGGGTTCACGGAATGAATCAAAGTGATCAACTATTTTTTTTTTTTTAAAGACAGGTCTCGCTATACAGTGCAGGCTGGCCTTTTAACTTTGCCACTCAGGCTGGCCTGAAGCTCAAAGTGACCCTCCTGCCTAGCCTCCCCAGTGTTGGGATTGCAGGCGTGTGCCGCCTCACCCAGCCAGAACCAGCTCTTATTCATGCCCCCCACCAAGTGAAGGCACAGACAGGCCTCTGCCCAGAACAGAAACCCCAGCTCCCTACCCTAGACCTGCTCCTGGGACCCTCGAGTGTGAAAAGCGCTGGGTGTGACTGACCCCTCAGGAAGGCCAGAGGGCATAGAAGCCCCACCCCCGGACAAGGCTGCAGGAGCTGGGCCCCGGCTCCGGAAGGACAAGGCACGGGCGGGGGGGGGGGGAGCCCGCACCCACCGCCTTGGGCTGGAAATCAGCGCAGTCCTGGTGGGCCCTGAAGAAGCAGTCAGTCCGGAGTCCTGCGAGGGCGCAGCTGGGCGCGCGGGTTATGTCTACGCCCTCGTGCAGTAAGGGCGAGAGAGGGACGAGGTGGGCGCCCCTGCGGCGCGTGTGTCCGCGGACCTGGAGCCCAGCCGAGGGGCGGCCTGGAACCCCCGGGACCCGCGTGCCCCCGGGGCCCAGCGGCGCAGAGTGCTCTCCCGGCGGTCCGGCCCTGGGTGGAGAAGCAGCGGGGTGACCCGGGGGCGGGGTGCCGCGGATGCGCACTGCCGTCCGGTCCCTTGGGCCCCCCGAGCAGCTCCGCCTGCTGCCCACAGCGGGTGTGGGCGCCCCAGAGACCGCGGGCACCGAACCTCCGCAGTCCGATCCCGCACCCGACAGCTCCTCCGCTCCGAGCCCGCCCGGTGCGCGAACCCGCGATTCTCGACTTCCCCGGGCACCGCGCGCTCGCCCAGAGCGGGGCAGGGGAGCCGCGTTCCGGGGGCCCTCAGGGTGCGCGGCGCACAGGCCGCGAGGGGCAGCCCCGCTTTGTGAGCAGGAGGGCCGCAAGGCTCCGCTCCTCCCGGGGCCTGGGGGCCCGGGGAGCCGGAGTTACTCGGACTGGGGCACGGAGAAAGTGACCCCAGCGGGAAGGGGGTCTTTGAAAATCGAACTCGGGGCCTCGCGCGGGCCCTGCAGGTCCTGTGCCCGTGAGCCGCATCCCTGGCCCTGGAAAAGTGTCCCCATTTCACATGCCTTTGGGGTGTCGGGACCCCGCTTGAGGACGGGAGTTCACAGATCTCTGTTTTAGCAAGTAGGGATTGTTGGGGATCAGTAAATGTCCTGGGGTCGCATCTCTGAACATTGCTGCCTCCTTTGCAATTACCTTGCTTGCCCTCCCACTTTAATATCAGCACCACTGGCCGGGGATTTAGCTCAGAGGCTAAGCCCTGCGTGGTAGGAAGGAGGTCATGAATTTGATCCCTGATATATATATAACTTGCAAGTACATTCTTCTGCCACCTTCTTTAAAAGCGAGTTACAGATGAACACATGACATTTATCCTTCAGTTGTATGCTTTCTGCAGAATTCTACACAGAAATAATTGACATCACATTTTCATATTACCTGTATGAGTTTGTGCTACGTGGAAATGTTCAAAATGTTTCGATGGTAGGCCTTGTGCCTGAGCAAACTCCCTGGGCTTTGATCCAGTCTGCTTTATTACTGTGCACAGCCTGTACAGAGCTGGTTCTCACTATACAGTGTTCCTTTGCAATATGAATAAACCCAAATGCTTGGAGGTGTCCCCACAAAATACACATACTAATGGAGTAAATGGTTAAGGCTGGAGGTGTCCCCACGATACACACTGGCATAGTTTTTTCCACAATGCAGTGTCTGCTTAAGAGTCACACGTGAATGAAGATTTCTCCACCACTTACGCTCACCTGCGTGTGAGTTCGCTCATGTCTTCTGAGGTCATGGGAAGCCCAAAAGCTTTCTCATGCTTTCTGCATGGTGCTTCTCTCCAGTGTGAGTTCCTTCACGTATTTCAAGGAAACTGGAAGAACTGGAGGGTCTTCTTCTATGACTGCATGCACATCGCTTCTCTGCCAGGTGAATTCGTTGATGTATTTGAATGCATTGGAAAAACATAACCTTTTCAGATGCCTCGATATGTTCAGATTTTCTCCACTGTGAATTCTTCCATGTATGTGTTAATAGCTGTGTCTGCTGAAGATTTTCCTTACTCCTGATAAAGGGCTTTTTTTTTTTTTGCCTCTGTGTGTCCTTTCCTCTCAGTGTTTCATTCATATTTATGGTTAATTTACCTGTGACTTTTTAATACCTGTCATGATAATTGGAATGATTGAAGGTTTTTCCATATTACTTACATACATGAGGTTGTTCATCAGCATGATTTCTTTCATGTATTTGACAATACCTGTGTATGCTGAATGCTTTCCTACATTTCTAATATACATAGGGTTTCTTTCCACAGTGAAATCTTTTTATTTATTTATTTAGGCTTTTTGAGACAGGGTTTCACTATGCAATTCAGGCTGGCCCTGAACTTACTGTGTAGACCAGGCTAGCCTCAAACTTGAGGCAATCCTCCTGCCTCAGCCTCCTGAGTACTGGGATTACTAGAGTGCACCACCATGCCCTGCTGTGAATTCTTTTCTTTTCTTTTAGTACCAAGGATCAAACTCCAAACCTAGTGCTTGCCAGGCAGGCACTTGTGCCACTGAGCTAACCCCCTAGTCTCAAATTCTTTTATGTTTTTGAAAGTCACTGTGACTGGTGAAAGCTTTTACAGCCATAGAATTTCTACAAAGTGTGTATTCAATGGTGTTTATAAAATGAATTGTGACAAGGACATGCTTTCCCACATTGCTTACATACATAGGGTTTCTCTCCAGTATGAATTTGGTCATGAATACAAAGTGACTTGCAACAAGTGAAAGCCTTCCCAATTACCGGGGTCTGACCGAGATCCCCAATCTCCCAAACAAGTGTATGGTGAAGGCTTAACTAAATGAGACAAGTCATATGATTTCAGGGCTCAGGAGGATGGAAAGCCTCTTGCAGAACTGTTTACTCTTGGCTATCAAGAGGACTAAGACAAAGAGCTTCCTGGACCACTTCCATTTATTAG